GAGAGAAGATCTAGTAAAAATTAAACTTGTTTATTGAATGTCAAAGCAAAAATGAAATATAAACAGTAACAACTTGATACATCCTCTGGTATTTGGACCATTTGCTGGTAACTGATATCAATTTTATAAATTAAAATACCATTACCAGCAATATTCAACATTCTTTGTTGATATTTCCTGTACTCTACTATAGGTATTGTTATGGTGCCAAGCTCAGCTATCAAGGTGTCTGATCTTATCATAGTTGAGAAGGTATGTTAATAAATAAATATCAACAAATGTGACATAATAATTGTCACAAAATCCTGAAATCCAGAAATTAGATAAAGTCATCAAGTGTAAAAAAGTCATGAAGTGCAAGCTACTTCTTGACTCTGTAAATGAATCACATGACTTGGACAAGGAAATAGATTGTTCTGCAGTAGGTTTCTTAATTTCTTTTGGCCTATAAGTTATTAAAATCATCAATGATATTGATGTGCTTATTTTAACAGAATCAAAGGGTTCCTGCCGATATGGTGTTTCTGAGAACTTCAGAAAAGACTGGTAAAGATTTGTGATCATTATTTTGATAAAGGATTCATGAATGTCATGTAAAATTTTAGTTAAAATTTATAGCCCTATGATCATTTTTAAAATTGACATGATTAGCTTCTTGTTTAGTTTGTTTATTTGGTCACCAGTACCAGTATGCAGTGGAAAATATTCTCTTTTTCAGGGGCATGCTTTCTAAGAACAGATCAAATGGATGGAGAAACTGACTGGAAGCTGCGTTTGACTGTAGCACCCTGCCAGAGACTGCCTTGTGATGCTGTGAGTAATGTAACCTTTCTACATCTGATGTATTTTCTGCTTAGCCAATGTCATCACTGACAAGTGGACTCATCAATGGGCACAGCTGTTTGAATGTTGATTTATTTTGACACACAATTAAGCAAACATGACTCTAACTCTAAGTAAAGAAAAAAAAACCCTCTCTGCAATTCCCATGTTTGTGATGTTTGTAAGGCAGATCTGAGTATGGCATTACCTTAGGGCATGTGTGGACCTGCAGGCAAGTTGGTGGTGTGATGCAAGTTAAAAGAATTCTTAAGGTCCAATTACACGGGTGATTTTTAGTTGCAATTTTCTTTTTGCAATATTTCTGATGAATTTTTTTTGCACTCATGCTGCAACCAGCTGCACTTTCAGCGAGCTTTAAGTGTGTCCAGTGTGACTAGAATTCCAAAGACGTGATTAACTTGTCAAATATTTTGTATCAGAACAAGTAAACATGTCTCATAAACAACAGTAGTGTTGTTTTGTGGTAAGTTTGAAACCTTCTGGCGATATCGTACTGAAATCACCACTGAATTGCACTGAAATCACAGCTGCTTTACACATGCAATGTGGAGTTGCAGCCCTGGGTGCGACAAAAAAAACCTGGTGGAAATTGCAATAAAAATTAAACCAAAAACTGCTCGTGTAAATGGGTCTTAAGGTACGACACTCTCTTTAGTAACAGTTTTATGTTCTTTTAGGATATGCTGAACATTAGTGCATCTGTGTATGCAGAGAAACCACAGAAAGACATTCATAGTTTTGTTGGCACGTTTACAAGGGTAAGTTGCTATTCCAGTTCTTGTTATGTCTCTGCACTAAATGATTGTCTTCACCACATAAGAAACTATTACTTCTTTGGTCTCGAGTGCTAAAAGTATGTCCATGCTTCACAAGAGAATGTACTCTTTCCTTTTTGTACAGTATATCTTTCTGGGATTATCTTGCAGAAATGCTGGTGTTCTTTAATTGCACATTGTTGAGCTGTCTGTCTTCAGTAAATTTAGTAATTAGTAGTAATTTATTTAAGTAACACTCCCTGTAAGAAGAAGGCAATTACATGAACCATTTGGGTAAAGCACAAACTACTGTTGGACTTTAAGAAGTTGTGACACAGGGAGTGGTTGCCCATTCTCCCGAGCCAGGGGCTCATGATATAAGTACTTGACAATTAAAACTCTGTTTAATCAATTTAGTACGATGGAGAAAGGACTGAAATTCCTCTCAGTATAGAGAATACCATGTGGGCCAACACGGTGATAGCATCAGGTGGGTGTAGAAACTGGAGCTTATAAGTGTCGTCAGCTACACAGTACATGTACGTGTTTATAACTGAAAGTTCTCTATAAAAAGGCAGTATCTCAGTTAATAATGATGTAACACATGTGACCTTTCATGCGAAAATGTTGTTACACTGTATGGACCTGAAAGGATAGGAAAGAAACGTTTTTCTTGCAGCTTGGTGAAAACATCTCAGTACAAGCAGAATGCCAACCTCCCATATATAGGTTGACTACGAGTAGTCGGTTTTTGTTCCTGAAATCCTCCACACATGGGATTGAGTTAATATTATGCAAATTAGGGAAAGCAACGAGGAAGGAATGGGCTTCGGCCTGTTTTCTTTGCATCCGGGTTTAACGGCTTCGCTTTTCGCCGCCCAATCACTCGTCGCACCCTAGGAAATGAAACTCGTTGCGCATTTGGAAAGGAAGAGACTGTTTGACTGTTCACAGTCTCTTTCTTTTCTTAGACTTGATTATCCTAGAAGAAATGTTTCTTGTGATTTGAAACCAAGGTCTCAAAATGAGAAATGTGAGTGAAGTCTTCTTGTAAAGCAACTAAAAGGACTTGTTTGTGATTATTGTTAAGGCACTGCTGTTGGAGTGGTGATCTACACAGGTTCAGAGACAAGAAGTGTAATGAACACATCAAACCCCGAAACAAAGGTATCTGACTGTAAACTTAGAAGCGTTCTGTGTAGTGGAAGAAAAAACTTCATGTAGTCAGCCATTCCATTAGCTCCTTAGTACTGTAGCATCAGTATGAAATGTTTTTTTTTTGCCCAGATATTTGTCATCAGTGGTAACTGAGTGAATCACCTAATAACACAATTTCATCTAACCTAAACTGCTACAACGCTGCTCAAGTATAGGCTACTAAATAGATACTTCTTGCGCTACAAACCTTTTTTCTCCTAAGCGAGGCAAATGCTGTTTACTGCAAGACTGACAGTGCTGTTTCTCTCCAGACTTGCTTTGTTTTCTTCGAGAGGTGATCAGAAACTGTACATGTCATTACGAAGGCTTGAAATTTTAGGGGACTGTGTAATACTGCAGCGAGAAATGTTTAATGAATGCTAGTTGTTTTAATGAAGTGTCTGTAACAATATTGCGTCCATCTGGTGTAGTTTAGAATGATTCAGGGATCCATTAACTTGAGAGAAATCCAGTAGACTCATCGCGAGTGTGAAACAGTTTTCAATTTTTTTTATTAAGTTACATGTACACCTGTACACTGCATGTATGGCATTTATGAGAACACTGATTTAATGAATACCCTTTTCCCATTTCTCTAGTTTGGGCTTATTGATGCTGAGGTGAACAATCTAACCAAAGTGTTGTTTATAGCCACTCTCAGCCTTTCTCTGGGCATGGTATCGATTAAGGTAAAGAAACGCGTTGGATATGAGTTGGCTTTAATCATCTCATATACAACAAGCACGAGTGGAATAATTGTTTTATTAAAACACTTCCAGTATAATGGCTCAAATACCATGATGGCTAAGCTAATCAAAACTCTCGAGCTCGAATTGCGTTATCCGATGAGCCAGTTTTGAAAAATCATCATTAGCTGCTTCTTAGGGGGGATATAGGTGAATCTTTGCTGACGTCATTGTTTACATTTTTCCTCATTAGCATACGACTTGACTCATAGAAGCCGTGGCCGTATATATGAACTAAATGCAAAAGTTGAAAAAGTTGATTAAGTTGAGCAATTTGTGCAATTTTCAGCTCTTTGCAAGCAATATTCAAGGAAATATCAGCCATCAAAAATTGCGAAATTGCTGTGTGGCAAAAAAGTTAATGAGCCATACATTTCTCTGTAAAATTTCGAGTTTTTAGAAGAGAATTTCTCCGAAACCATTCTGTGTATTGGGCTCAAAATTTCAGAGATAACTGAAACTGTTATGTCCTTTCAATATTCAGAGTTTTTCTTTTATTAGCGTCATCAGATAGCGATAAGCATATGTTAATGAGGCAAAAAGTGTAAACAAAGATTCGCCTATTATAAGTGAATGTTGTGAAACAGGACAAAAGTAAGGGATGGAAAAAAATCTCGACAAAAAAGTTCTAACACAGCGCCAGATAGACTACCCCACACGACTTTTCACGTCGGATGTACTTTTTAGTCGAATCGAACTCAAATCTACTAATCCCCGATAACTTCCTTCTCATTCGTAAACACAATGTTACAAGTCGAAAAGAAAATCTTAAATAATTTATGGGACCATCCGCTGATAGAGTTTCTCTTGCTACTGAGTTCAGTATCAGAAAATAACACTAATAATATCTTAAAATGACGCTTCTTGTTTCTACATTGTCTAGGGTTACAATGGGCCTTGGTATCGTTACTTCATTCGTTTCATCCTCTTGTTTTCGTACATCATTCCTCTAAGGTAAGTTAAAGCAGGCTTACGATAATCTCCGAAAGTCTTGGTTTGTTATCATCTTGAAAGATGTGATTAAGAAAGGCGAGCGAAGTTTAGAGTTTTTTTGAGATTGATGTCCTTGATTCACCATCACCATCACCATCACCACCCTCCTCAGACAGGTCTTTTGTTCTTATGCTTCCAGTCTACCGGTGAAGTCTTAGGTTAATCCTTGAAGACCCAATCTTGAGTGATCATTATCAAGCAGAATGCCGTTGAAAATAGTAAACGTCGGCAGTGAGCTACGTTCATGAAAATCTGAAATCCGTTGCGCTCAATTCTTCCCCATTGGAGAGACGTCAGAGATTCGACACAAAAAATACCATTCTGATGGCGAACTTTTCCAGAGATCCGTGCAGCGTCTGTAATTGGTTGTTACTTTCGCAGGAAAGTTCCAACCAATCAGATGCATTGTGCATCGAACTACGTCATCGGTACGCAATGTTTTGGGTCTCAGACTCACTAGTTGACTATATATCCAACTCAAAGCCTGTTTTTACTCATTCTTCCAGCTGATTTCTCTATCTTCCTTTGCAGTCTCCGGGTGAGTTTGGATCTGGGTAAAGTTGTGTACTCATGGATGATAATACACGACAAAAATATTCCCGGGACAGTGGTGCGGAGCAGTACTATACCAGAGGAACTGGGGCGAATAGGATACTTACTGTCCGATAAAACGGGGACTCTGACTGAAAATGAAATGGTACTTGACTTTCATTTAAACTTTTGCATAAAAAGAGAAGAGTAGTAGCTAAGCTATTTTATAAAATAATTTACGAATTTCAATTCACGTAGTGTTCCTCGTGTTCTACAATGTTTTATATTGTCAAGCGAACAACTGTTGAGTCGCCACAGGCACTGGAATAACCAGTGAAGAGTTGGAACTAAATTCAGTTCATTTATATTGTTCGTGAAGACTTTGTTCTGGGTAGAAGAATATCCTGACAACGTTATCCAAACTATTTTATTATTAAACAGGTTTTCAAACGTCTTCACTTGGGAACCGTATCTTTCGGAACAGATTCCATGGAGGAGGTAGGCTTACTGGATAATTGTATTATGTTATCGTAAACTACCGTTTATAAGCCCACCCGCTTACAAGTCCCTCTCGTTGTAGGCCCATCTACCTGTAAATAAAATATTCCGATTATAAGCCCCTCCGGATATACGCCCACTTCCAGTCAACTTGAAATGAATTCGATTTATTATGATGTTTTAAAGCTTACGAGTACATGAAAAACGTATTTCGATCAACACTGCTGTAGCTCATTTTGAAACGGTTTTATTCCGCTTATAACCCCGATATAAGCCCCTCCGTTTATAAGCCCATCCAAACCCCCTTAGGACGTTGTATAAGCTCAGGGTTATAAGCCGCAGTTGACGGTATCTAAGAGTCTCTTAACTTCGTTCTTTTCGGCATGTTTCAGTGTGAGTGTCGGCTGATATCGTTTCATTTCTGGACACTCTAATTGCAATGAAACATTTTTTTTTAATTTTATTTTTTTTTTTTTTTTTTTTTTTCTTTTCTCACGCGAAAGGCTATTCTTTTACTGTCTTGTGTTTCGGCAGTCTCATTGTTACGAGAAATGCTTTTTGACTGCATTGTATATAAAAATTGCGGTTTTCAGTGGTCCTACAGACCATAGAATTGACATCATAAATATTCAAAACTCAAATGGAACCACGAGCTGTAAGCGCAGTGGATTCACTGAAAAGGATTGAACATAAATTATTATAATTATGGCTTCATTTCTATAGTCTATGTAGCAAATAGATTCCATGTTTCCGTGCGTCTGTTCAGCAATTGATGAGATGACGTCAAAATGTGGTAAGAACAAAAAAGTGGCACCTAAGGCAATAGCCGAGTGTGTCACTGATGTTCTTACCATATTTTGGCTTCTGTGATCTATTACTGAACAGACGCACGGCAACATGGAATGTTAAGTAAGTACGCCATAGATCAATGTGGTCGACGCCCCCAATTAGCTAGAAATTTGGTACAAAATTTGGGGCGCGCGTATCTCTGAGATCGTATGATCATTTTTTGCTTTAACTTTGAAGTTTTCCGAAATTTGCTTTTCGCTCCAGCTTACATCGTTTCTATGTTCCATACTCTCACAGACCATTGTCGTTGACCAAAGCATTGGCCGCAAGAATATAATTCTCTCAGTTATTGTGAAAAAGCTAATCTCTTGGTATTCACCACATTACAGGTTATAAGCCATGTGAACACGTCCTTTGATCCATCATCATCCAAAAAGACTGCACAGGGATCAAAGGTTTGTGTCTGAGAGATTGTTTTGCCAAGTAGCTGCAGTTTCATGTAAATACAGTTTTAAAAACGCAGTTGAGTTTTTAAAAGGTCTGGAACTTAGGGAAAGATTTAGACCCCAAACATTCTAAGTGGTTTTTCGTTTGAAAACGCATACTGACGCGTTTTCGCCCACCATTAAAAGTTAAACGATCCTAAACACTCATCGTTTTCATCGAAAAAGACGTACATTTGAAAACGCGGTCTAAAGTGGAGATCTTTGAAAAAGGAACCTTATCCTGTAAATACCGTGCACAGCAAAAACGGCGGCTATCGAGAACACTGAGTCACAATGTGCATGTGCAAATTTCGGTTCTAGTGTCTTCTCATATCGTGGGTGAAGAAAGCTATGCACAAAAGGGAGAGTAGACGCCAAGTTTTCGGTGGGAAAGTCATCTACAATTAGTAGGCACTGCAGAGGTCGAAAAAAATTTGAAATCGAGCTTGCCCTTGAGACAAGTAACTCAAATTTCGCTTGGCCAGGGCAAGCCCATGCTTGTTTTTGTTTCCCTTTTTTATGACTTGATTGGCTAATCACTTTTCTGGGCGCCTGTCCGTCGGGCAAGTGGACATGAAACGATACTTGCCCCACAGGAAAATCTGCTTGTCCCAGACGACCGGACGGTACTTTTCGTAAGCCCTCAGGTATTGCTTCCAAAAAGACTTTTATTTTATGTGGACGGGGCCTTAGGAGAGTCAGATCTGGAGTTTGGGTGTTCGAGATGTCACGTGTTTTCGCTTTGACAAAACACGATCTAAAATTTAGGACCGTTGGTTGACAGTTATCATTTCCACCATACCACCCTCCAAATGATAACTTTTTTGACAGTTAACAAGAGAATGTCCATTGCGAGTCTTTCTTGGCACTCTTCTCTCTCTCTCAAGCTTTAGTTTGGTGTTATTTATCACGTCATTACTCTTGTTGATAAGTCTGTTTAGTTCATTTGCGCTGTGAATCAAAGACATATTTAGCTCGTGAAGTCATCTTGGGAAGTGAAATTCTACAACAAAAAGCTGTGATTATCTTGCTAAATTCGGACCTGAATTCCTTGTTCATGGCACCGTATATAACTGGATTGATGCAAGAGGAGAGTTCTACAGACACCGTGTAAACAAGATAAACGTATCTTGGAAAGTAGAACTGTCCTTTGAAAGCTCCGATGACATCAATGATAACAAACGGTGTCCAGCACGCTCCAAAGCTCAGAAGTATCACGAAAAGTAGCTTCGCGAGTTGCACCTCGTCGATACCAAACCTCCCTGCTCCGGATGTTCTTGTTTGCGCGAGTGTGATGTTATGCTTTCTAACTGTGCGGAAAACCTTGTAATAGCACACCGCAGTCACTCCAAATGGGAGCACCGCAAAGCAGACTATAGTCGACACATTGTAGATAACGTGATTTTTGTCAAGATCGAAAAAGCAGAACGCCTTTCCAGGATGAAATCGATAGCGGTTTCCGATAGCGAAGTACGGAACGGGGACGATTAATGCCAGGCACCATGCTAAAATGATACTTAAAATGGCCTTCTTTGTTGTGTAGTAGATTGGGTATTGCCTTACGCGTACGATTCTAAAATAACGATTCACAGCTGTTAGCGTGATAATCAACAACGATGCAATGCCTAACACAGTGCCAATGAAGCCCTGATATTGACAGAGGACATCCCCCAATATCCAGCCATCCGCGATCAAGGTGGCAAAAGTCAGCGGCATCCCTAAAAGTGACATGAGCATGTCTGTCAAGGCCAGCGAGGCAATGTAATAGTTGGGTACTGTTCGTAGCTTGGGGTTCTTCTTGATGGCTAAGCAAACCAAAACATTTCCAATTAACGCTGTGAGGATGAAAACTGCGCTAAAAATGCACTCTGTTATCTTTTGCGGGAGTCCTCGGCTGGACAGCTCCATGGCCAGGATCGTTTCCCTTGTGGAGTAATTCATGATTGATGTGTTTTCCTACTCGCAGTACAGCTTTTTGTCTTGTTTCTTCTTTGCTGGAGAAAATTTCCTAACGTGCTACCTGTAGCCAGTAAAGAGAAGAGAGAATGTAAATTTATTGGGCTGGTCTTCGCTGTGGTAGAATGCCCGAGCCGGCTTAAAAAGCAACAGGGAAACATGCTATCATGCAAATCAAAAAATGCAACAGCACTATTTCGACTTTCTCAGGTCATCAATGCGTGACTGCTGTTTTTTTACGCTGCTTTATACAGAGTAACTCATGCACAAACGTTACGTAACGAACGAGTTGTATCGAAGTAATGATGTCTTCTTACACCTGTCTAATAATCTGTGTGGAAGGATTTCGCTGAATACACCCCTCGCTTCAAGATGCCTTTGTTTAGTCAAAATGGTTTGTCAAAAAAAGAACAAAGTCGGTTCAGGACGTGTAACGCCGATATGCCAACAAAGAAACCAAAAAAAACAACAACAACAACAACAACAACAAAAAAAACATCATACTGCCCGAAGCAAAATATAATTGAAAGATCAACAGAAGATTTCGGTTCACGAGTATGAACTGATCATAAAGCAAGTGGTATTGTTTTCGGCACTGTACACAAACGAGAGTATCAAGAGTTTTCCCCCAACTTACCAGATTAGATTCTGATCGATGCCGTTCAGATTTACGAGAATTTGCTTGTAATAAGGTTTAGCCTTGCTTGTACTTGATGCGATATTTAGAGTGATTTTGCTCACGCGTCAGTGCATGTCACATGACAGGTCAGCCTTCAACAGGGTTCATTTGCATCTAAATTTCACAGTTTGTTACAAAAATGTTCCTGGTGGCTCTTACTGTTTTGAAAGTCGATTTTTCTCCAATACAGCTCTACGATATTGACCTTAATGTGGGTCGGCTAAGAGGGGTTACGTAATAGCTCTTTGATTGAGAGAAATTGGTTTCTTTATTTTTGCGCATGTTCATGGCCTTAAGACGCAGTCCACACTACCCCGAATGAATTTGAAAACGGAGTTTCACTCTGAAAACGCATCGAATGTTTTCCGTCCACACTACGCCGGAGGAATTTAAAAACGCAACAATCACCGGTTAATTTGGATTTATGTTTGTTTTAAGGAAAACTCGGTCAGGGAAATCACTTGATTGTCGTGTCGCAATCGTTTTCGAAAAGCTCTACTGTTTTCCGTCCATACGAAATTTAAAAGCCGGCGTTTTCAAATTCCTCCGGTTTGAAGAGCGTTTTCGAAAAGCTGCGTTTTCATGACGGTATAGTGTGGACGGTAGGCCAAACCGTAGAAATAAAGTGGCGTTTTCAAATTTCTGCAGTGTAGTGTAAACGCTGCCTAAGAGAGTTGGGTATTGCAGTTAAATGTCAACAAATAAAATAGCTCATGAAACAAAACAACAAACTCTAACGTTGGTCTATAAAAAGATAAGAGACCCCATACAATGACAGATGAGATAATGAATTATTTTACTGACATAAACTGATAAGAATTTGATGTCATTACTGCTATATGAATGAACATTATTCTTTATTGAGTTATCTTCTCTCAGTGTCAATTGTAACATAAACGATTTTTTCAACTATCGATGAATGAAATATCATTTAGAAAAATACTAAAACAATCGCCACATTTATACAAAGAAGTTTGACTTGGTTTAAAATAAAACTAATTGAAAAAAACTTTGAATGAGGATTAAGTATTTGAGCAATTAATATTGGGATAAATTTCGTGTTCTACGTAGCATCGCAAATAAATTTGGCTCTTTACCGCTAACGTATAACAGCTTTACGAAACGGTGGTAATTGTATTTTGAAACGATAACGGTACATGAAGTACGATGAACAAGTTTGAACCACCAACCAGACTTTTATAATTATAGAATCGGGCACAGTAACGTACACTCACCTTGCTCCACAATCGAGGGATGAATTTACGAAAACCCAGTCAGTGTAGGGTGAATTTCATATTCCATGCAATAGATAAGAACAGTGATGGTAGAAGAGCTGAAAGAGGCTACACGGTACTTTCTTACACAGATTACAGACAATTAGTTGGTCGTGTATCCTGCATATTCATTGTACAATTGAACTTTGGAATGCAATCTTCTATTACAGGAATCAATTAAGAACAGTATATTGGCCAGAATATTGGGTTCAGTAATTTACTTTCATCGGATCTCTGTCGCGGATCGTTAACTATCAAAGAAATTCACGTGGCAGCAAAGAAAGCCGGTTCGGATGATATTGTTCCTCTTAAGTTTGGTGGCCAAATGATGGTTTGCTCGCTGTCAAAGTTATTATTAATTTTGGAGGTATTTGCACGAAAAAAATACATCATCTCCAGAATCAAGACCAATTTACATCACGATCGAAAGGGAAATAAGGAGAAACTCTGTTACCTGAAAGATCGAGATTTTAATGTTTACCTTCGTCTGAGGAAAAATTGAGCCTCGTTCTCGCCTCCAGCCGCCCACAAGCTGGAAACTAATTAAAATAAAGAGTTCTTTATTCCATCTACGTTCCATGATTTATTATCACTTCTTCGGTGTTTTTCACTGAAGTGGACTGAATATTATCTCAACGTTTGTTCGATTTGACAGTAATTTTGTTTATTGCAGTGAAGCAAAACCACTTCGTTTCACAGTCGCCAAATTTAAGTCGCTTTACATGGAAATCAACTCTGCAATATTTGACTTTTCATTTTCCAATTGATTTCAAATATTTTCCTCTTACGGAACACTTCAAAGTTGTCGAATGATGTCGGCTTAATACGAGACATCGTAGAATGAGCTGTGAATTATCACTTTTACAACAGGTACACCAAACGTAGAAGTGGTGAATTTTTTTTATGATAGACCGGCTTTTCACTAAAAAATAAAATCACAGGGGGTGTGCTACAGTGAAGACAATTGATCAACTGAGTTTGCAAGACTTGGCCGTTAAGTTGCCGTTGTATTACTTGTAGAAGTATTGAACTATACAGAAAAGAAGATCGAACCTTGTAAGATAAACGAGTAGTTAATGTTGAGTGAATCTTGTTAGTGACACTTCAGTTCTATGCAAAGCGCTTTAGGCATAGTGGGGACATGTGATCTTCTACGATCTGTCTTGCCAGGTTTCAAGTTGTTGATGTTCTGCTGTAGTGTGGTGGTATAGAATCTATTTAGTAGAATTGAATCAAACTTACTGATTCACTGGTAAACCAGTCGTTCGCCTCGCATTCGTCTTTCATTTTATGCTTGCGTGCAGGATTTGCGGTGACTGTCTTTTTTTGTTTGTGTGCCACTGTGATGTCAGGCAGGGCTTTCCACAAAAACCACTTGAGGTGGCTCAATAGGGTATTGATTTATCGCGTTCCGCACGCTAGTGTTATGTTTTGAAAGCTGTTTCTGCATTCGTTTTAACACCCAGTCCTCTCAAACTTATTAAATGTAATTAGGAATGATGATATATTGATTTACTATCATCTCTGTTGAAATCTTGGCTTTTAATCTTGAATTATAAATGCCCCAAGAAATGCGTTTTTGACCGTTTTTATGACTTTATTTGTGATTTTCTTGAATTCCTTTCGGTCAAATCTTCCAACTTTTTACAGTACATTAAACCCGGCGGGATACGAATTTTAAACAAGAGAAAAGTATGGTTTGTAAAGGCAGTTTTTTTTTTTTAGATTTGTGCAAATTTGGGTCTTTTAGCGCTGCGGAAAAACTGGTCAGATAGATTTCCCTGAAAAACGAGTTCCAACTAAACTAAAGTATTTGTTACCCGTCTGCCAAATTTTACGGAATTTCACCGAAGGAAACGCGAGAAAATTTACTGTCAGTTTGGCTTGTTGTGCTCATGATGACGTCATGAAATATCGAAAAACACTGACGTTTTCCTTTGAGCGCGCGCAGAGTACTTGAGCTTTCGTCCTATGCGCGCGTGCGATCGTAAAACTATAATGAGCCACCTGAAAATCGCCTGAATACCTTTTCCGGAAATTCTTAAAAAATGTTCAAAAATTTTTCTAAATATCTCGAAAAACCCGCTTAATATCTCTTATTTTTGTCGTAAAAATACACCAATTTTAAAACACTTAAGCAAGAATTTTATTGGAGTAGTAGGAGTTGAAGAAGAAGATTCAGGCACTTTGATGTTACCAGAATCCGCCATTTTTTAAACTTGCTGCGTTAGCGCTTTTAGTGATATTGAACGTACTTTTCGAGTGGGAAATCGCTGAACTGTATTGTTTCTAGTATAGAACTGACTACTGTTTTAAGAAAATAGCGAGGAAAACACAGGGCTAAGCCAAGAAATTCTATGAATATTTCTGAACGCCCCTAGATTTTCTAAATATCTTTATTAGTATTTTCTAAATATCTTGGAAATTTCTAAATATCACAAAAAAATATCCGGATATTTGTGGGAAGGCCTATGTCAGCACAATGGCAAAATAGCATTCAAATGATCTTCAATGCTCTTAGTTTTCCAACCCGCTGTTTTTACCATTGCGAGGCAGTATTTGCAGATCAAAACAAATATTACATGTTTGGTCTGTCATCACTGTCGTGTAAAATACCTCTCATAATGCGATTTAAGACTTGTTTTAGCGGCTGTTAGTTAAATTTCGTTCTTGAAATTGTCATAGCAAATGATTTTTAATTTTGGGCAAAAGGAAATGGTATTACTGTACATGTGAATACATGAAATATATATTTGAATTGCGGAGAAAGATATGAAGACATGATTGATCACCGCAGTTGTACACAACTTAAGCAGTTGTGAAATTTAAGATAATGGTATTTGTTTCCAGAAATGGGTTTTGCGAGGACTCTGATATGAGGGTCTTTTAGTTCAAATAAACGAAATGAAATTTGTTTTATTGATTGGTTCCAATTCAACGTTGTCAAGTTTCTCTTCCTGTAATCCCTCCATAATGTGAAATAAACGCAGGCACGTATGGAATAAATAGAGGATATTGCATGGCGGCGCGAAGATATGGATTTTATTTTCGAGTTGTAAAAACAATGTTTTTAAGAACGAGCGCAGCGGGAGAGTACGATATTGTTTTTAACTCGACAAAATGTAATTCTGTTTCATGTCTTTGCCTCGCTGTATAATTTTCTTGTTAGAAAAACTGGCTGTTTGCACAAACGATCGTGAAAAAGCTGGAAATGACGTCATCACTAATCCTCACCACTCGGGTTCCGGATGTAGTTTCTTATGAAATGAAATTTGGCGTATTTTCCAGTAAAACACCCGTATCTATGTAGTGAAAAGTCTTCCTTCATGTATATTCTTTGCATTTAATTTAACAGATTATTCGATAACATCAAACTTCGTTGTTTAAGTGCCTATAACGTCAAATTTTTTGCTTTCTCATCTGATTCTTCATAACACTCAATTAACTTTCTCGAAAAAATTTTTCGATTTGCATAAATTTTTTTATAATTTCTTAAAGACGTTCAAATTTGCCGCCATTTTGGTCCACCATTCGCACCAGTCTTCCTTGGTTTGAAGTGAGTAGTGACGTAGGTTCAGGGACACGTGATTTGGGTCGTGACTTATCTGACAAGTGGGAATTTTGCTCTAGAGTTGTCTACATTTAGTTGAAAATGCCGGAAAGGTGCGTTACCGCTCTTTTTAACACACGACGTAAGTATTTATATGCACTTAAGGTCAAGTGAGGTTCCTGAACCTAGGTTACAGGTATTAGTCATGTGGCCATTTTGAGCACGTTATTCTTGTGATCAGCGGCAGGGGTCGACCGCAAGAAAATATAATTTTGAACTTTGTAAAATTCGTCCAAAAAAATGCGTTTTATCCAAATCGAAAACTTTTTTCGCAGACGTTCATTAGGTGAAATGTAGAATAAGATGAGTGAAAAACTCAATGGAACAGTTTTGGTTCCAATCGAAAGTTAAATCTTTGATTTTCCATATTTTACCTCCCTGTTTTGACGCACAGTTAAAGAACTCGCTTGGTTTCGAAAATGTGGTTCGTTACATCCCATGTTCGTCATTCGTGTGCCATTTCGCTGTAAATGATACGCGACCCCATACATGGCTTTGGGCAATCTTCAGTGCAATTTAAGTATTACTGAATCGTTTTCAATTCGTAGGTTCGTCGAACGGTTGTCTCGCGTGTCCATGAAGCCGTCAAAGCACTTGCGTTATGTCACAACGTCACACCAGTTACTGAGGAGACTGAAATCGACGAATCCGCTCGGGTACGTTTGGAAAGCGTGACCAGTGATGACAGCGACGTCGAAGGAAGTGCAGGAGGAAACAATAGGGCCGTGACATATCAGGCATCCAGTCCAGACGAGGTACGTTTAAGATACAGCAGTCCTTTGAAGCTTGTGTCACGCTGAGGTTTCTGCTAAGGTGTCACGCATCTTGGGTGTTGTGACTCTCATTTCCAGGCAACGTTTTGAAAATTCTAATTTCTGTAATCGCTCTGTTTTTATTCCAATCTTTACCCTCCTTGTTTCTTTCTGGTTTATTTCTACATCTGTACTGTGGCGTTTTTCTTCCTCTGTAAACTTTATTTTCGAAGTTTTTTCTGTTTTCCCTTAATCAAGGTAGCATGACTTATTCTCTTCAAAATCTTCCAGCCAGAACGAAGTGAACATTTAATTCTGCCGACTCTCTTCAGGCAATAACTGCATTTTTGATAATCATTAGTTCCTTTTGGACACACCACCACCTAAAAGAATTTTAAAAAGTTTTTACAAGTATATATATTTTAATCACTGATTACCACAGGTTGCCTTGGTGACGTGGACGGAGAGTGTAGGGTTGACCTTGGTCCATAGAGATATCACGAGCATGCGCTTGAAGACTCCTCACGGCCAAATACTTGTGTACAACATCTTGCAGATATTTCCATTTACCTCAGAAACGAAAAGAATGGGTATTATCGTCAGGGTAAGGATTTAAATTAGTGATTTTTGTATTTGGAGCTTGTCTTATCCTTTATTACAATGTGCAGTGTTTGCGTGGAAGGGGATGTGGCGTGGTTTTAGGGAGAATGTGTGGCAAACGCGAGTTATGCGCGTGGTAGGTGCGTGGTACACACGTGGCGTACGCGTTTTACGGGCATCGCGGACGCGAGTTACCCGATATGATACCCCTTATCGAGAATTTCAACCTTAAATTACTTTTCTTTGATTAAAAATACTTTTGGTGGATCTTAAGGCTATGCATCAAATGCATTTATCAGTTTATGAGCGAGGTTACGTTGAATGAAATTGGTTATGGATTCATAGTGTTCGTTTTCTTCCATTAAGGATGATGCGACAGGTGAAATAACCTTCTACATGAAAGGTGCTGACACAGTCATGAGCAGCATTGTACAATATAATGACTGGTTGGAGGAAGAGGTAATGGCACTAGGGAGGGGTGGGTTAAGAAGCATTTTTAATCTTCTGTGAATAGCACTCTACAGTTTACACCCTGTATTGATAAAATGCTCGATTCGGCGCGCGGAAAATATTTTTTAGAGCCGGCGTAACACGGCCAGGATAACACTGTTAAATATTTTTGTACTCGAATTTACGTTGTGAGGTTTATTGTAAATGAATTTTTTAGTGAAAGTAATGGTAACTTGCTGAAGTGAATTGAAAGCTGGACATATCGGAGTTATTGTCTCTTTACTGATATTTTGATAGTTTATATCTACTTATTTTGTTTTGTTTTGTATATTTAATCTTGTACCAAGTTTGTGATAGTTATGTGTACCAATGTATTTGTTGTGCCTCTTTCCTGACTCTTACATTTTTAATTATTATAATTACGGTCACCCAACTAGTTTAGCTTTTTAGTTATTTTGSGTGTCCCACTACTGTATGTACTGTACTGTTTATTTATATATTTATAATTATAATCTTGTAAATTCTTTTAGTTGTTTACAGTAGTAGAAATAAACTGTTATTGTTGTTGTAAGAGGGGTGGGTAGCGTCATAAACCACCACGACACTTCTGAGACGAACACCATTCTAAATCCCGTCATCAACTAATTATATCGTAACAGGAGGAAATATCTCTCATTTGCGTGTGTGATATTCTCATTATTTGTGAGATTATGAATTTTTATGTGCCTTGCCGTTTTTGTTTTTCCTTTCAGTGCGGTAACATGGCTCGTGAAGGTCTCAGAACTCTTGTTGTTGCCAAGAAAACCTTAACTGAAGATCAGTATCAAGACTTTGAGGTTTGTACTTTTATCTGCATTGGGCGACAAAAATACTTGAGACGCTTTTAGAAAATGACTCTTTACGATATTTTCCTCCCTATTCTATTTCATATGTATCTAGTGATAATTCTCTGATACCTCCAGCGGCCTTTCAATTCATTCCTGTGTAGGTGATGTGACTTGTGCAGTCTTAGAATAGGACTGTTTCCAGGACGCTCGAAAATAGAATTTTACAATAAAGTGCCTCAACACTTGTGTCGCTTATTGTGGCATACAGAGCTCTGACTGCCAAACGTAATGACATGTTGAGTTTCGTTTTCTATTTTCTTAGCATTGTGTTAAACCAGAGGGGCTCTACAGCACGCTCTGTCCAATCAGAGCAAAGATATCACTTTTTCAGCCAATCAGTTGCAAGCAAAAACGAAGAGTTACCAGGGTGACGTTTTTTTTTTCCGCGCTTAGCTTGCCAACGGCTACATCTCCCGTTTTGTACTGAGAGTGGTTGAAATGCTGTTTGTTGGAGTTGTGATGTGTTTCTCGCTTTTACTAATTTGTGTTAAAGATAACGATGTTGTCTGTGGTGTTTTTTACTTAGAGTAATGGTTATTATCACTTTTCTCGTCAGCATCGGTACATGCAAGCCAAACTAAACATTTCTGACAGGGCGGCCAAGGTACGACGTGCTTTTATGTTTCATGCTGCACTATTTTCCCTGTTATATTACTGAGAGTGATTCAATGTTGCTGAACGAGAAGTAATTCCATCAATTCGTTAGGTAATGGACGTTCAAAGAACTTTGGAGCACGACTTAGAGTTGCTTTGTTTAACTGGAGTTGAAGACAAACTACAGGTATTTTTTTACTGCTAAGCGAGAAAGGATAGCGTGACCAATAATTCACAGTTTTTCAAATATGGTTTTACACTGTGTCAGCATTTTTTTCCCGACAACAGCGCGCACTGCTCTCAAGAATATTTTTATTTCCCTGGTCGAATAATCTGACAACTCTTGTACTATCAACGAGGCTTTCTTTGATAGCTATGAAATAACTGAAATGTTTTCAGCAATGTTGTAGTTTTATTGTTAAAATTTGAACATAAGGATCTCCTTTATAATGTTCATACAATATTCATATCTTTTCGTTGCCTGTTTCAATCTTCAGGTGGATGTTCGTCCTACCCTTGAGATGCTTCGAAATGCGGGAATCAAGGTAACGCAACTCCTGAAAGAAGCCCGTTGTAAACTTATGGCGCCGTCTTTTGTTTTATTCTTGTCCTTGTTCTCTCATCTATTCATTCAGTCTGTCTATTTCTTTTTTATTTTTTCATAATTTCACGAACTATTCATGAACCATGTTTACCTACGAACGAGCGACCGGACAAATAAACGAAGGAAGGAAGGAGTGAACGAACGAACGAACGAACGAACTACGAAAAAGGGAACAATGCGCACGAAACATGGAAGAGCTCTCATGCAGTTGTCATGAAATATTCGTTTAGCGACATCAAATTAAAATTTGGAGTGCTTGTTTTTGTGAAGGGAGGAAAATCGACGAACCCGATGAAAAACAGTCGGAACAAGGACGAGAACTGACAACAAACTCAACCCGGCCAATTTCAACGCCGAATCCGGAGTTCGAACCCAGGCCACTTTAGTGGGTGGAGAGCACTCTTAACAATGAGCCACCCCTGCACTCCAAACAATAAGACTGGGCCACCCTTACTCCCTAACAAAGAAATAACAAAAACCAACTGACAATTATGCAATGTGGTTACTTGTTCACTTTCAGATTTGGATGCTCACAGGGGATAAACTAGAAACAGCCACATGCATCGCGCAAAGTTCACGCCTTGTAGCAAGGAACCAAATTATTTACACATTTAAACAGGTACTATAAGTAAAATGATGTTTAAGTATAACATGGTTTGTGATTTATCAGGCCGACGGTTAACTTCAGTTTTCATGAAGCTTACGTGAGTTTTCCTGGTTGCTCATTATGCATCAAATTTGACATTTTTTTCTTTTCAGATAAGTAATCGTTCTGAAGCACATTTAGAACTTAATTCACTAAGGAGGAAAAATGATTGTGCACTGATAATCAAAGGGGATTCCTTAGAGGTGAGTGTTTACGGGATATGACAATGTTAGGCAGCTGAGATTATATGTTGAAAAGAGCACTTTTCCAGTTAATTTGTGAGTAACGTTTCTCCTCTCCACCACTGGGTATGTGGCTTCGCTTCATTAGCAATTTTGGTGCGAGGCAAGTTCTGCGGAACAATGCAAACAGCCATTTGGTGTTTGTGTATTGGTGCCAGATAGTTTAGGCTCTAAACCTTAACTGGGAGCAAACCTTGCGGCTTGCAAAGGACTGATAGGAATGGAGAAACCTTGTTGGTGCCCTATGCGCCGCTTAGGCTCGATTTCCGCCACTCTCTCGGGTTTGGCCGCGTTCTTCCCCGAGAGGAAACTTCGGGGGTGAGCGCGGGCTCATTTTCCGAAACAGCGGCCGGTGATCGAACCCATGCGCCACTCTGCGTCCAAAGGACTGATGTTGATTGGTGTCATGATCAGTGGCTCAGTCAAATTCTTTCTTGTGGTTTTCCTCTGACCAGAAGACAATAACATACGTTGTAAAACAATTAACATAGTAAGTCACTTTTAGCTTTGCTTTCGTTGATCATGCTTAACATTACGATCATCCTCAGATCAAAACAAACCTCTAATTTTCTAAGGCAGAAAAACACCAAATGGTAACAATAAACCAACACGAAACAAGGATGGTTGATATTGGGCAAGATTGACACGCATTATGAACGAATAACTTTAAAAAAAAATTTAGACAGAAAGTTTTCAAGATGTCTCATCCCCGACATTTACCTGTTTTTAACCCGTCAGGTTTGCTTACGTCATTATGAGCACGAGTTCATGGAGCTGGCGTGTCAGTGCCCTGTTGTGGTGTGTTGCCGCTGTTCACCTCAACAGAAGGCGGATATTGTCAAGTTGCTAAAGAAACACACTGGAAAGAGAACGTGTGCCATAGGTGAGATGTCCAGATCCAGTTCCAGGTCCCCATCCCTCTCGGCATGTCCTTCGGCTTCAGTTCGTATTTGGTGTACTATGCACCTAGTTAGAATTTTGAGAAAGTTTGAGATATTTTACTTCTTTTTTGCAACCATTTTACTTCTTTTTCACATTTGATTACGTGAGGGAACAATACAGCCAACAAATTACCGGACCCCTTCTCTACGGGAACGTTTTTTGTATTATTCTCTCGCTGATGAAAGATGTGATATTTTTGTTTGGCTTTAGGCGATGGTGGAAATGACGTCAGTATGATTCAGGCAGCGGATGCTGGAGTGGGGATCGAGGGAAAAGTAAGATAAATATAGTGATAATTTATACTTCTGAGCGGCGCAGTGGAATGTTTTCGTGCCTGTGCTTTCAGTGTGATTCATATCCTTCATTTACTATCCAATCAAGAAACCGTTAACACTCACCAAGAGCCAGAAATATGTAACGTCAATGAAAGTGGATGAATCAAATGAGAAAGTGGACATCTAGGAAAGTGATACTTTACTTACAACAAGATCAAACGTCGACAGGACAAGAAACAAAGGATGGCTGCATGATTGCTTGTGAAAGATCTGTTACTTAAACGAGAACTTCAACATGTATACGTGGAAAGTTTGGAAACAACAGCAAAGGTTCCGCGAAATATAAAAATCGTTAACAGCTTCTAGTGAGCCTCTAGTTTGATAATTTTTAACGTTTTCTCTCGATGCATGACTGATTGTGTTCGTGTGCATTTTGTTGCCAGGAAGGTCGCCAAGCTTCGCTCGCTGCGGATTTCTCCATCACGCAGTTTAGATACCTAGGACGACTTTTGGTGTGGCACGGTCGAAACAGGTTAATTGCATGTACTTTATTCATTTGTTTAAAGACGAAGTAGTTCTTTTTATTGTTAGACTGCGGAACCTATAACAGTTATCCGTGTTTCGCGATAGACATAATCAATTCATTCTCTCTGTTTCAGTTACAAGCGATCAGCAGCTCTCGGTCAGTTTGTGATCCACAGGGGACTGATTATTTCTGTAATGCAGGTAAGCAACATCTTGGTCATAAGAGTTAGTGGCTGCGAAGAAGACGAAAACAAATCCGTTCACAAAATTAAAATTCACACTGAAAATGCGTCAAATGTTGTCCGTTTACACTTCTCCGGAGAAATTTAAAAGCGCGACAATCACCGGTCGTTTTGGATTTGTGATGAGGATGACTCGGACAGGGAGATCACGTGATTATCGTCATGTCATCGTTTTCGAAAAAGCCGGCGTTTTCAAATTCAAATTTTCAAATTTGAAGAGCGTTTTCGAAAAGCTCGGTTTTTGTGACGGATTAGTGTGGAGTGTGGGCCAAACCGTAGAAATAAGGCTGCGTTTTCAAATTCCTCCGGTTTGAAGAGCGTTTTCGAAAAGCTCGGTTTTTGTGACGGATTTGTGTGGACTGTGGGCCAAACCGTAGAAATAAAGCTGGGTTTTCAAATTCCTCCGGTTTGAAGAGCGTTTTCGAAAAGCTCGGTTTTTGTGACGGATTTGTGTGGACTGTGGGCCAAACCGTAGAAATAAAGCTGGGTTTTCAAATTCCTCCGGTTTGAAGAGCGTTTTCGAAA